CAACCTGTCCTGGCAGGTGTCCTGTGTGCCACACAAAATCCCTTCAGATAATTACATTTTGGGGTTTTTTTAAGGGAGTCTTGAGCAACGTCAAAGGGCTTAAAATATGGCAAAGCTTTTCAGTTAATGGCCAAGTTAATGAGGCCTTGAAGTGATTCTGTGCTCTCCCTCCCTCAAATTAGTGGCAAGTTCTATCAGGGAGGGGTGTGTAGGAAAAACCCTGATGAAAGCATAGAATAGTTTTTGCAAGGAATTAAGTAGGAGATAGCTTTTTGGCTCTGGGAAGAGTAAACAAGTAGAAAATTATGGTCATTTGACAGCAGGAAATCTATTTTTTGTCATTACTGTGTATTGGAGGCATCAGTGAATGAGACTGTTTAAACCCCAATCAGCCACCAACCCTCACAGGATCACTTTCTTCTTTCCTCTTTCTTTTCATTTAATTTCATTGCTGAGATTGAAAGATCCAAGTATGAAAGGCTTTAAATAGGTGATCATTCTCATCTCAAGGCTTTTGCCTGGCTTTTTACTTTTCAAATCTCATTTCAGAACACATTGCATTAAATTACATGAAATTACCGAGCACTTTAATTACTTTTTTTTTAAAAAAAAACAAACCAAAAAGCCCAAGCCATTCTTATTGCTGCAGCCCAGAGAAGTGATTTGCTGATGCAGTGCCACCTCCCTGAGTGTTGTGAGCTCCAGGATGGGGAGGATGAGGAGCTGTGGGAAGCACAGCAGCCCAGTTCCAGCTGTGGGGCTGAAGATCCAGCTGTGTCTCTTGAGCTGCTTTTGCAAAGACAAGAAGCCCGTGCTTGATTTGGAGATGAATGAGTTGTTTCACCCTTTTAGGTGTTGCTGTTGATGTCTCTGCTGTAAAGTTTTGGTACCTGGGAAGGAGAAGTGAAGAAAAGCAGGGGGAGGGATGAATTTACAAAGCTGCTGATTAAAAAGACAGCAGTGAGGAAATCATTGTTGTTTGGAGCTGGAACGGGCTGTGGGATCTTCCCATCCCAATTACCATTTCTAATTGACTTGTAGGAGAGTGCTCTCCCTGCTTTTCCCGCAGTGGTGTTGCTAGGAAGGGTTGCTAGGCAACTCCTCAATGACTGAACCGACCTTTAAGATAAATATATGTATTTTCTCCCCATTTTGATGCTGGAAAGCAAACCTCTATTTTGTCTCTGTGCTGGCCTTTCTCTGGAGCTCTTTGGGCACAGGGGTTGCTGAATAATAGTCTGCTAAAGATTTGGCAAAGCTTTTTTTTGTAGGCACAACCTTTTTCGTCTGTAACATCCTCAGGAGCTCAGTTTTTTGTCCTTGCAATTCGAGCAGCAAAAGTTGACCAATAATATCTTGAATGATTTATCTGATGAATGTAGTGATCCCTATTGAATAAATGACTGAAGAAACGCTTCTCACCGTTCCCTGAGCTGAGCAGGGGCAGAGCATGAAGGGTGCAGTGTGACAAGGAGGATTTAAAGGCTCCCATGTTTCTCAGGCCTTCTCCAGGAATTCTGGTGCCACAGAGCCCCTGGCACCTGCTGGGAGGGCTTTGCTTTTACCAGCTGTGCTTGAAGCAAATCTCTTGGTTTATTATTATGTTCAAATTAACCGAACATCATTCCAATTCAATGCTTCCCATAATTTTTTGGAACGATTTCGCCTCGTGACAAACGTGTCAACTGTTTAATTTTCTCCTTTCCAGGGGAAGGGATCTTTAACAAAGAACATGGAGTCCAACCATTCCCTTAACTCTGCCAAGGCCACCACTGCCCCATGTCCCCAAGTGCCACTGTCCCCTCCTGCCAGGGACTTGTGCAGAGCCAGAATTTCCCCCTGAGCTCATTTTCTCCAGCCTGAGCCCCTTCCCAGCTCCCTCAGGGATTCTCCAGCCCCTTCCCAGCTCCCCCTTCCCAGCTCCCTCAGGGATTCTCCAGCCCCTTCCCAGCTCCCTCAGGAATTCTCCAGCCCCTTCCCAGCTCCGTTCCCATCCCTGGACACGCTCCAGGCTCTGTCCTGTGCCCATTGTTTGTCATTCTGGGGGTGCTGACAGAAACCACCAAATGCAGAATTGCTCAAGATGTGTTTGGTAAAAGCTGAGGCTGCCTTGGGTGCTCTGCCCTCTTTCCCAATACTGAACTGAAATAATAATTAGCATCTCCAGTTCTGTCTTCCCCTCATAATTAAGGGTTTGCATAGCTGGGAATCCACAATGGTTGGGAAAGCAGCCTTTGGAATCCCTCAGGATTTCTTTTCCATTTTAAAATCATAAACAATGTCGGTGTTGACCTACATAGCCTCTGATTTTTCTTTTTTAACCTAAATTGCTGCAAAAGCTACTAATTACAGCCTACTAAAAAGTAAATTAGCAAGCCATCAGTAAAAATTACATTAAAAGCAACATTATTTCCTATAACATTAATAAGCTCTTTTTTGGGTGTGATTTATTTTTGCAACAATTACTGTACAGTCTCCTGGAAGATGTATTTCTGTGTTGTTAATATAATATACATGTATGCAATTTTCCATTTTAGTGCCTATTGATTGCTTCATTTTTCATCTGTATTAGCCTATTCTTATAATTTCCTCTGGGCTTTCAGGAATGGCAGACATCAAGGGAAAATTGGAGTGCTAAGTCCTGTGGGAAATGCAAAAAAGCAAATAGATCAGAGTCGAGTGGAAAGGACTGAGTTCAAGTGCACTTGCATCATGAGAATTTAAACTGCCTTCCAACCTTTCAGAGATCTGAAAGTATTTTATTGAAGGAACTTTGCTTTTATGTATTTTACTGGGAAATTAATTCTAGTTGTGAGCCAAGTCCTTGTGTGTGTGAGAGAAGTGTGTCCATCCTGCTCTGTTTGACAGCCCCCAAGCTGACAAGGTGAGGATGAATGTGTTTTGCTCTCAGCTGTACCATTTGAAAATCATTTGAAAACTCAGCTCCAAGTTACAGTAGCTCATGAAGTTTTGTGAAATGAGCCTGCTCCCCAGAATTCAGATTTGCTGCTTCAAATGTCCGGGGTTGCAAGGCACGCTGGTATCAAAATATAAAAGATAAATTTGCTTTTAGGCAGCACGTGTGAAGTGAGAAGGAAGTGGTTTAGTTCAAATCAAGGGTGTGCTCAGTTAGAGCCAGTCCAGAGGAGGTGGTCAGAGGGCTGGAGCCCCTCTGCTGTGGGGTCACACTGGGGGAAGGAGGATCCTGGAGAGGAGAAGGCTCTGGGGGCAGCTCAGTGCCTGAGGAGGCTCTGACACAGCTGGAGAGAGGCTTCCAAAAGGGCATGGGGCAAGGAGAGCAGGATCAGGCTGAAGGAGAGCAGGGCTGGATGGGATTTTGGGCAGGAATTGTTCCCTGGCAGGGTGGGCAGTGCCTGGCACAGGTACCCAGAGCAGCTGGGGCTGCCCCTGGATCCCTGGCAGTGCCCAAGGCCAGGCTGGACACTGGGGCTGGGAGCACCTGGGACAGGGAAGGGGTCCCTGCCATGGTGGGGTGGGATGATGGGACCATCCCTTCCAGAGGAACCAGAGCCTGCCCAGCTCTTGGGACAATATCTGTGCCCAAACCATTTCTGAGTCACTGCACCTGAAACCTGTTCCTCTCCCGGGTCTGTGTGTGTTCAGGGCAGCTTCAGACACAATGTCAAATGTCCTCAAGGAGAGAGAACTTCCCAGCTGAGGCTGGGGGGATGAAGCACTGCAGAGCACATTTTGTGCTCGGCTCTGAATTCCTGATCAAAGCTCAGAATTCCTGACTGCTGGATCTCCCAGAGTGTGTGATGGAGATGGCACCTGAGCCATGGCCTCACTGGCTCCAGGTGTCCCCAGAGCTGCTGCAGAAGGTGCTGCTGCTGCTCCCTGCCCAAACCTGGCTCCTGCTCCCGTGTCCCTCCCTGTCCCTGCCCTGGGTGGGCATCAGGAGCTCCCTGATTCCCTTTCCTTTCTCATTTTCAAGCCAGTCTCCCAGGGAATGGCACACATGTCCTGTTTGCTGGGTGTTTTGGGGGAGACACAATAAGGAAGGGTTTTCTGCTGAGGAGGAGATAAGCTCACAAGACCTGAGGATGAGAACATTTAATTACCATTCTGCTATTGCTCAGCATGACCTGGTTAACCTTCATTCCCTTCCTCAAAGGTGACTGCAGGTAAGAACCACGAGTTTGGTTCCTTTACTGAAGCAACAGGGGCTATCAAAGCCTGCCTGGCATCTTCATAGGTTCTGGTTTATACAGGGGAAATAGAAATTTTCTAGAAATTTAATATGTAGGACAGAATTGCTTAAGTAAATTTGCTGAGATAACGCTGGAGTGTTCTAGTGATGAGTTTGGAAGGAGAAATAAAGAGGAGGGTAAGACACAGAAATCTGAGCAGGCAAACTGATCAGTGGGAACTCCCAGGAGTGCCAAGACTTTCCTTTAGCATTTGGGAAGTTTTATAAGGACACAGACTGAGGAAAAAGCAGCACAATTCTAAGATCATCCATCTCTTCTAGTGCTGATAATTTCTTTGTTTTTATCTCCCAGTGACTCTGGAAGCACTTAGACAGGAATTGGTATAAATTTTCCCCATTAGCCTGTCGTCACCTAATAGCTGAACCAGGAATGGGGCTGGTGTCACTCTGTGCCAGGCTCTGAGTGCCAGGGCTGTCACCTCTGCCTGTCCCTGCCACCCCAGCCTGTTCCAAACTGCTGTTTACTGATCCTCATGGGCTCCTGCTTCACCAGCCTGCCAGGGAACACCAACAAACAGCAGCTCTGGGGCTGTTCAGACAGTTTGCTTATTGCTTTTGGCCTGGGCTAAAGAGTGAGGAAGTTTAATGCCTTGGGAAAGCAAGGTGATTGTCTCCACACTGTTATTGTCCTCTAATGGTATTGAGTGGAAAAATCTAGGCTTTGGGGGTGTAATATTAATAATAATAATAATAATAATAATAATAATAATAATAATAATAATAATATTAATAATAATAATAATTATTATTATTATTATTTTATTTTTAGGCTCCTGAATCCATTGATATAAGATAAATTCCTGTCAGAGGTCCTAAATGTATTCAAGAAGTCTGGAAGGGAACCTTTGCAGCTACTCCTGGGAGGTGTAGGCTGGTGGTTTTTGAAGCAATGGGAAATGACAGTCAGAAGCCAGCTCAAAACAAGTGGTTTCAGTACAGGAGTTAATGTTCCAGTGAGTCCAGGCTGATTAGCTGCCAGCTAATCAATAATCAAATTATTTACCTGCAAATAAAAAATTTCTGAGCCCCCCCAGCCAGGCTGTGATGTTATCAGAGGGTTTGGGCAGCGTGGGGTCCTCACAGGGACCAGGAGGAAGGAGGTGCTCTGTCTTCACCCAAACAGCAGAAAAAACCTTCCCTCAGTTGGTGCAGCAACACAAATGTGTGTCATATCTGCTTTCCTTTTGTATCTCCTTACTCCAGCTGACAGCAAGAGTCAGATATGCTTAATCTGGGAAAGAGTGTCAGCAGCATCAGTGTTCTCTCTGCTTTCATATTTCCTGCCCTTTTAATACCCAGAGCTGCTGATCTGATTTCTCCTGGCCATCCTTCTCTCTGTGTTGTTTTTATTTTATTTTTTGCCTATTTCTGTTTCTCTGAGTTGTGTTTCTCTCCTTGGGTGTGTGACTGTGTACAAACTTGGTTCTTCCAGGAGGTGCAATAATAAATGAAGCCTGGAGGTGGAAATAACATTGAGGGAACATCCTGTCTGTGACTGTAGGGCACTTTGGGAAGGTCTGTGTTTATTTCAGCAGTGCCTTGGTTACTGCCAGCTCGCTTTTGCTTCTTCCACACTTAAACACACAAAAAATATTCATGCAGTAAACAGAAAAGTGGCACTTAAATGCTTTAAACAGAGACTGGAAGAGAAACCATTTTTCCACAACGAAAATATTGCATAATGACAATAACGGAGATAATATTTTTTCGTCAGAAAGAACACTTGAGATCACAATACTCCAATACATTTGAGATGAAAATATTGTAAATTAAAATGCTGCACTGAAATTTGCCTTCTACATTTAGTGCAGGAGCCGCAGTTTGCAGGTTGCTGGGTGGTACAAGGCAGGGAAAACATCATTTCTGCTCCTGGAATTTATTCTCTTTGTGCTGTTTTGGGTAAATCTGACTCATAGGTGAGTCCAGTCCTCAAACAGGTGTCAAGCAGCTGTGACTCTGCAGCTTTGTGAGCGAGCAGGGAGCTTTGGCAGGGCTGGGAAATGGGAATTGCAGTGGGGAGATGTTGGTTGCTGGCCTGAGCAGGGTTTCAGCCTCACTGCTCTGTCTCCATGGTGATATCCCGAGATGGGGCTCGGCAGGCATCTGCTCTGGGTGGTTTTCTGGAAGGTCAGACCGGAGCTGATGGCCAAGGCAGGAGCCTGGGGAGGTGGCTGGGACACTGGGGCTGCTCCCAGTGGAGATGGGTCTGTGCTGGGTCTGTGCCTGACAGCCCTGCCAGGCAGGGCAAGGCCCAGCTCCTGCTGCAGAGGACACTGGCCAGGAGTGGAAAGGAAATCCTGGAACAGCTCCTTGGAAGGAATTCCCAGCTCCTGATGTGTCTGGAAGAGGAGGAGTGTCTTGTGCAGGGGCTGATGGCTGTGTGCACACACGAGGGCTGGAGATGCCCTGCAAGAGCAGCCCCACAAAGGGGGTGCAGCACCCCCAGTTGGGCTGGGGCAGGTTGAGCCAAAGCTCCCAGAGCAGCGAGGGAGGCTGAGGAGAGCTCCAGGATTGCCCAAGACACTCTGGCCCGAAGTGCAGAGCCACAGAACCCTCAGCAGCACCACCAGAGCTTGTTCTCCTGGGCTTGGGAATGAACCAGAACAGGGAGCGTTTCATTTCTACCTCTCAGAGCCTCTCCCCTGTTCTGCCATGCTTAAACTGCACAAAGGAATTGAAATCATGATGAGCTGAGACACTCCTGCCGAGGGCTGAGCTATTTGTCTCTGAATGGAGGGGAGAGGATGGATTTTGGGGACAACTTCACGTTGTACTGGCTTACAATGAAGCAGAAATCCTTATTTACATAAGGAAAAGGAACTGGGATGTTTTAACTGTGGTATTTTGCTTGAAAACAAATTTCTTGTGTTAATTATACATCTGCAGAGCAGCTCCTGTATGTGGCACTTGGTGTTAGAGATGGCACAGGCTGGCCCCTGAGAGCCCTGGTTTGAATCATTGCCCCTCTGTAATAGACTGTGAGCCAGCCATGTGTGATATTCCTGACAAGGATAAACCCAGCTGCCTCATAGCAGCAAAAACCAACATTTATTTCAGGCAGCTATTGAGTGCTAGTCCTTTCATGTTGCTCTTGTTGCCGTTTTTGCTTTCCAAAACCCCTCAGGACGCTGCTGAACATTGTTGGGAGCAGTGATATTTTCACACCCCTGCTCTTTGCCACCATCTCACACTCACCTTTACTCTCCACGTGTCAAACTGTTTTCTTAATCGCTTAGCAAGAACATTTGGAGAGAATTCCTGTGGTGAATAAATCTGGGAGCTGTCCCTGGCTGTTCTGGGGAAAGCTGCATTCCAGAGGTGGTGGGGTGGGAATGTGAGAGGGAGAGCATCTGCTGCATGTGGTGAGTGGGGTTTGTTGTGTTTGTAAAGAGCCAAGAGAAAGTACATGAACAAGAATGTGGAATTTCAGCTCATGAGAACTGGACACTGAAACAGCTCCAGGGTCTGGGTCAAGAGGAAAACTCTGTGACCTTGGTTCCCTGGTCTGCAGCAGGATAACAGCAGTTGTGTCTGTGAGCACAGCCTGCAAAAATCATCTTTTCAGCTTCAGCATGTGAACCAGCAGGACTGCCAGGGACTGAAACAGAGCTAGCTGGCCCTGTGTCACTGCTCTCCAGGCTTCTGTGCCCCTGGCTGGGGAGTGAGGGCTCCTGGCTGGGGAGTGAGGGCTCCTGGCTGGGGAGTGAGGAATCCTGGCTGGGGAGTGAGGAATCCTGGCTGGGGAGTGAGGGCTCCTGCTGCCCTGGAGAGCCACAGCCCTGCTCTTCCCTCCTCAATAACCCCCATTCCCCTGCATCCCCCCC